TAGAACATTTTATTAAAATAGCAGATATTCAAAATCATTGAATTCAGGGAAATTTTTTTTAAATAATTGTAATTTTGCCAAGAACATTATTAAATTTGTTGAAAATAACTGAATTCCGAAGAAAAATTTTATTATTTATAAAAATAATTAAAATTTTGACTGTTATTTTTAAAAATTTTTGAAAATAATTGAATTTCTGCCAAGAAATTTCTTATTTATAATAAAGATAATTGAAATTTCTGCCAAGGATTTTCTTATTTATAAGGTAATTGAAATTTTAACGAGAATTTTATTAAAATTTTTGAAAATAATAGAATTTTTGATTAGAATATAAAATTTTTTTAAATAATTGAATTTCTGCCAAAATAATTGAAATTTAGAGGAGCATTTTTAAAAAATTTTGAAAATAATTGAATTTCTGCCAAGAAATTTCTTATTTATAATAAAGATAATTGAAATTTCTGCCAAGGATTTTCTTATTTATAAGGTAATTGAAATTTTAACGAGAATTTTATTAAAATTTTTGAAAATAATAGAATTTTTGATTAGAATATAAAATTTTTTTAAATAATTGAATTTCTGCCAAAATAATTGAAATTTAGAGGAGCATTTTTAAAAAATTTTGAAAATAATTGAATTTCTGCCAAGAAATTTCTTATTTATAATAAAGATAATTGAAATTTCTGCCAAGGATTTTCTTATTTATAAGGTAATTGAAATTTTAACGAGAATTTTATTAAAATTTTTGATGAGAATATAAAATTTTTTTAAATAATTGAATTTCTGCCAAAATAATTGAAATTTAGAGGAGCATTTTTAAAAAATTTTGAAAATAATTGAATTTCTGCCAAGAATTTTCTTATTTATAAAGATAATTGAAATTTCTGCAAAGGATTTTCTTATTTATAAAGATAATTGAAATTTTAACGAGAATTTCATTAAAATTTTTGAAAATAATTGAATTTTTGAAGAGAATATAAAAATTTTCTTTAAATAATTGAATTTCTGCCAAAATAATTGAAATTTTAACGAACATTTTTAAAAATATTTTGAAAATAATTGAATTTCTGACAAGAATTTTATTATTTATAAAGATAATTGAAATCTTGACGAGAATTTTATTAACATTTTTGAAAATAATTGAATTTCGCAGAAGACTTTTATAATTTATGAAAATAATTGAATTTTTGAAGAGAATTTAAAAAATTTTGTTAAATATTTGAATTTCGGAGAAAAGTTTTACTATTTATAAAGATAATTGAAATTTTAACGAGCATTTTTAAAAATCTTTGAAAATAAATGAATTTCTGACAAAAATTTTATTATTTATAAAGATAATTGAAATTTTACCGAGAATTTTATTAAAATTTTTGAAAATAATTGAATTTTGTAGAAGAATTTTTATTATTTTTAAAGATAATTGATTAAATTATAAAAATTTTTAAAAATGTACCTATGTTCTTTAAAATTTCTAATGAAATTCATTAAAAATTCAAATTTTATAAAATTTCAAATTAAAACCTTTTGAAGTTCATCTATTTATGAAAATTGTAAACGCAATTCTTTGAAAATTCAGTTAATTTTGAAATATTTAAGTAAAATTATTCATTAAATAATTTATAAGTATAATAAATTTATGATAGTTCTTGAAGAATTAAAATATTTAAAAAGAAATTATTGTCAGATATATATAAAAAATTGAAGATTTTTTTATTAGAATTTGAGGTAATTTCATAGTTTATGGAATAAACAAAAAAGGGTCAAAAATAATTTTCTTTCTTCAAAACCAAAAAAATTTAACAACTTTTTTCAACGTTTTGTCTTCAAATAGTGAAATCGAAAATTTATGAATTTCAAGTGAATGATAGCATTAAAATTAATCCCCGATTGGCAAAAAAAATCCCTTTTTTCCCTATAGCCACTTTTTATGTAACTCCTGACAACGCTCCACTGAGAAAAATAATTTGTTCTTTCAAACATAAACATCAGTTTCAACGTTTTTATTTATTTCAACACAGTTTATAAGTTTAAAGTTAATATATAGAAAATATCCACCACATTCATTTAAAAATATTATTTGTTTGAACGTTCTGTTTCATTCAAGAAGAATTATGTTTAAATTAAATATAATATATGTTTATAAACTTAACATTGAAATCAAAACAAAAATATGTTTGATTTAAACTTAAGAACACTCACGTTAGGTTATGTGTTTAATAATAGAGCATTAATGTCAAATTTATTTTCTTTTGGATTTTCCGAAATGCACAAACGTGATTGGTTGTCCATAATTAATCATAAGGTCTTTCATATGCCATAACCTGGTGACTGTGTACTAACCTTAAAAGTGAAATAGTTCTGCGCAAGCTCAACTTCAGGCGGGACTACTGTCGAAACTGTTGGCAAGCCTGACTGTTAGAAAATTTGTATTTACGACGATTGTGTGTTTGTGTTTCTCCAGTGTTTCTCGTTTGGAAATTTTATAAAAAAGAGACTAAGTATTAATTGTGCCTTCGACATGAGTGTTTCTTCAATTTTAAAAGGCTGGGGATTTTCCGAAACTATTTCTACCATCTTTCAAAGTAAGTAAAAAACTTTACCCGCATACAACAATTATCTATATCATGAATATTGCAAAACTTAGAGGTTATGTTTATTTTTGATTTTTCCGTTACTCGCGTATTTAATAAATTGACTAAATATTATTTTAAATTGAGTTGAATTATTATTTTAGACAACGAAATTGATGAATTTACCCTTTGTCATTTATCAAAAGATGAAATTGACGAACTTTTTTTAAATCAACCAATTGGTTTAAAATCAAAATTTAAAACTTTTTTAGACGAGTTTAAAAAACAAAAAAAGGTAAAATAAGATCTATTAACGTTTACATGCACCTTCAAGTTTATTTACGCTAGTGTTTTATTTATTATTTACAAGAACTTTATAAAGTTTTTATATTTCCGATAGATTAATGAAGAGAACAGAAAGCGGAACGTAGAAAGACAAGATAACGATCAAGTAGAGCCTCCCAAAAGATTGCGTGTAGATGAAGAGCCCGTCAACAATTTTGACGTGCGCTTTAATTTAGAATGCGACAATATACCGACTTCATCAAAAGAAGCAAACAAAGCAAGTCATTCCAAAGCAGACCCTAAACAAAATACAATATCAAAAAAAACAACAAATTTTTCCGATGTTAGAAAAACAAGTTCAACAAGAGATTCATTTTCCGATCTTCATTTACTTGTAAGTTATACAAAAATTTTAATTTCGGAGTGTCTATTTGTCCCGTCAGCGGGACAAATAAATTATTTTTATTATTTGGCCCGTCACCCCACTTCCATACATATTTATACATTTCAAGACAGGCCAAATAAAAAAAGTAGTTTATTTGGCCCGTCAGATAACAAATTAGCTGTAATTAATAACAATAGATTATATATAAAATATAAATTATAATTCAATGAAATTTGACAAAATTTCCAATTAATTGGAAAGTTAATTTCATTTTTTAAAATTATTTACGGGAATTTAACAAAAAAAAATTTCAATTACTTTTTTTGAAAAGGCTAATTTTTATTCATGGTTAAATAAATATTTAAATACTTATTTACTTCTTCAATAATTTCACTTTTTCTCACTTTAACTGTAATTATTCTAAAATTTAACTTTTTAAAAATATAAAAATTATAATATTATTTTTACAATAATGAAAATTTCCGAAGAATACAATTTTTACATTCTCATAAAAAAATGAGAGTCTTGAATTTGTGGGATTTTTTTTAATTTAATTATTTCTTAAAATTTTGTTTATGAATTTTTCCAAAGGACTTTATAAAATTTTTTTAAAGTTATAATTGCTGTGAAAATTTTAATATTTATAAAAATAATTCAATGTTTGAGAAGGATTTTATTTAAATATTTTAAAATAACTGAATTTCTGAAAATAATTTTTTTATTTATAAAAATAATTGAACTCTTGCGAAAAATTTATTTATTTATGGAAATAATTGAATTCTCACGTAGAATTTTATCAAAATTTTGTTTATAAATAATATTAAATTTTTTCGTGAAATTGTATTGAAATAGTAGATATTTAAACTAATTGAGTTTTAAAGAATTTGATTATTTGCCAAAATAATTTATTTTTTTGTGAAAAATTCGTTTAAGTTTTTTAAAAATAATTCAATCGTTTCAAAGAATTTTATTAAAATTTTTAAGAAGAATTTTCTTATTACATTGCCTGTCAAATTTATGTAAAAAATAGTACCTGGTGATTAAATTAATCTATTTGTAAAAATAGTAATGATAATAATCTATTGTTATTAATTACAGCTAATTTGTTATCTGACGGGCCAAATAAACTACTTTTTTTATTTGGCCTGTCTTGAAATGTATAAATATGTATGAAAGTGGGGTGACGGGCCAAATAATAAAAGTAACTTATTTGGCCCGCTGACGGGCCAAATAGACACTCCGTTTTAATTTACAAAACTTATATAAAAAACTAAATGTAATTATTAAAGAAACGTTTTTTTAGGATTTAAAAAAAATATTAGACAGCACAAATACGGGAAAATTATTACTTGCTATAAGCAAGGAAAAAGTATTAAATTCGGACACTCAAAAAAAATTGGTGGAGATAATTATTAATACCCTTATGGAAAAACCCTTAATATTCGATAAATATAATACTAAAATTGAATTGTAAGTTATTACAACACAATTATAAAATTATAAATAAGGACGACGCACAAAAAGTACATAAATTGGTTCAAAATTACTTAAACCCAAACATAAATCTAAAATCCAAAACAAATTTGAACGGGAACCAAATTCTGTACTTTTTGTGCGGGGTCTTTTGATACAAAATTATTGAATTTAATAATTAATCAGCAACAAATTAAAAAATCTATTAAGATATTTTTTATTAATATTATTAAAAAAATCTTTTTCAAAAATATTTAATAACTTTTTATGTTTGCTTTAAGGCCACGAATGCAAAATCATCACTTCAACATATTAGCCAAAAAAATTGTGGAAGTGTTTCCAAAAGAAGATGAACGAATTTATTATATACCACCAAAAACAGATGGGCCTCAACAACTTTTGAGCAGGGGTAAACTGCCAGATAAGTACAGAAATTGGATAACAGCTCAGAAAAAAATCGGTTTCTCCCGAGAAAAGGAAACTGACGAACAGTGCGACGACGGTGAACAAGCGACCAATATTGCACGTAAGAAAATATCTAGTATAAAAAAATAAGTTTTTTAAATTTTAATAAAAAATGAATAGTTTAAATATAATTGAATAAATACGATTACAATATTCAGTTTTAGATGAAGAACGATACAAAAATGAGGCTGTTCAGTGGCTACTGAATAACTTTGAACCGTGGGATTCAGTTGTCAAAAACTTTCAAAAGTGCCAAGAATTTCGACTACGAGATTTCCAATCGGCTCCTGGAAATATTCAAAGTATATTTGAACGTTGGCCCGTATTGATGCAACCTCGTGGATTAGAACTCGTAAGAATTTAAGAACAAAATTTTTAATAAAATTTTCATGAAAACATATTTTATTTATACGCGTGGGAAAAATGAATGATTCGGAGTTTAAAAATTCTCTTATTTTACTTTCTTGAATTTTTTTTACTTATTTTGTTAAAGTGTTCCCTGTTTCACGCATTTTGCTAATTTTTTCTTTTTCTGAATTTTCTTAGTCTAAACTTTAATCCATTAAAATTTCTGTCAATTAAAAATTAAATTAATCCAAATTTTCATTGAATAGAAATAATTTTTTGAATTTTTTCTAAATATTCAATAATTAATATTAAATACAATTTTAATCAGCAAATAATTGCTGTATAAATAAAATAAAAATTCAATTATTGCAAATTTTGGACTCACAGTTAGAAACTTTTGAACAAATCAAATTTTCAAAGTATTTGAATTAATTATTTGATAAATAATTGAATTTTATAAAGAGTCACATTCTAATGTATTCATGTTTCTTAGTGCGAAGACTAATAATTAAAATTTTTATTAGTTAATTTATAAAAAGACACACTTAAAATTTTTTAATAAAATTTAATTTTTGCTAAGTTTTTATGAGAATTCTGAAAAATAAGATTTTTGAAATTCTATTGTTTCAAGATGATTGAATTTTTTAAATAAATAATTAAAAATTTTTGAAATAATTAAAGTTTCTTTACATTCTATTAAAAATAATTAAATTCTTTTAAAGAATTTTATTTAATATTTTCCAAAATATCAAGGGAAGTTAGTCACCGGAATTATAATTTTATTTTTAAAAATTTCTCCTCAATATATTCAATTATTTTCATAAATAGTAAAATTCATTGCAGAATTCCAATTATTTTTAATACAATTTTAATTAAGTTCTTCAAAAAATGTAATTATTCTTAAAATTTTTTTAAAATTCGTCGAAAAAATTTAATTATTTCAAGAAACTTTAAAAAAATTCTTCTCAAGAATTCAATTATTTCCATAAAAAGCAAACTTCTTCAGATTTACTAAATTCTTTTGAATATTATTTTTAAAAAGAATTCTTTACAAAAATTCAATTATTTTTATAAATTTCAATAAAATTCTTCACAGAAATTCAATTATGTTTAGAAATTTTTTTTAAATTCTCCTCAAAATTTCAATTATTTTTATAAATAATTAACTTATTCTTCAGAATTCAAATATTTTCAAAATTTTTTATAAAATTCTACCCAAACATTTAATTATTTTCATAAATAATAACATTCTTTTGAAGGATTTAATTACTTTTATAAATAGTAAAATTCTTTGCCGGAATTCATTTAATATCAATACATTTTAATTAAATTGAACTAATCAAATTTTCAATTATAATTATGAACAGACAAAATTACTTTAAAAAATTTTTTAAATTCTTTGTTTAAGTCAATTATTTTCCAAATTTTTAATTAAAACTATTAAAAAACATTATTTTCAAAAGAATTTAATTATTTATGAAAACTGTGATACAAATTTTTAAAGCAAATTGTAGATTTATTTATGTTCGAAATCAAATAAATTTAATAACATGAAAAAACCGGGATTTTTGTTGAACGAAAATAGTAGGCACCCTGTTTAGTGAATAAAAAAAGCAATCAGTTTAAAATTCAATCAATCCAAATTTTAATAAATAGAAAATTTAATTATTTCAATTCTTTGAAAAATGTAGACTTATATTATTCCCATCTTTTACTAAATTGCAATTTAATTTTTCACGAATCAATTCAAACAACCATATTTTAATCATGTTTAAACTTTTTTTAAATTATGGTTGCTGAAAATTTTTCCGAATTTTAAACTATTAAATTTCGCTGAATATGTAATTTAAAAATATTTTACAGTATTAGATTATCAAAATTTTATTAAAGGTATTGAATTATTGAAAATCTTTACTTTAGAATAGAATTTTTGTAAAGAAAACCTTTATATCCTATAAATTTGAGAAAATTTAAATTGGAAATATTTTTAAAGTTTTTTATTTTAATACTTTTTTGAAGCTAAGATAATAATTGGATTTCTGCTAATAATTTTATTTAAATTATTGAAAATGATTAATTTTGAAGTAAATTTTTATTTTGATAATTATAGAAATAATTGAATTTCTGGAGATTTGAACTTGAAATCTTTGAAAAATTGTAGTACTAAAGTTGTTTTGTTAAAAATTTTTTGTAGTAATTGATTTTTAGAGATTGTAATATTATATATTATCAAAATTTAATTTAAAACAATTTTTTGATTGTAAAATAGTTTTACCTTGATTAAAAGTTTCTTTTGGTTTCTGTATAATCAATGCCAGCTTTTATTGTATATTTTGTCTGTAATGAAGACTTAAACATCAATCGCTTGCATTGAAAGTTGATTCTCTATGTGTATTTTCATATACAAATTTTAAAATAGGTTTTAAATTTTTTCTTCTAAGGTCTTTTTCCTCAGAGGATATCAAATTTATATAGTTAAATAAAAATATTTTCATAAAATTGCAGATAGACAGCGATTTCACATTTCAATTCGGAAGAGAGGGACAAATTTTTGTGGAATGGAGACAGTTTGCCTTCAATATTTTTAACCTAATGCAAACAGAAGTAAAAGACAAAACTGCTTTGTCTTTGCTATCAACTTTAAAGCTAGCAAATATTCCAGATGGTATGTTATAACAAATAAAGAAAATTTCGTAGTAATTAAAAATTACTCTGTTTAAAAAATAATTTCTACACTGTAAAAAATTTGGGAAGTTGACGGTCACAGGAGTTGGGAGTGGAATTTTTCGATTTGAAAATCAACTCCATAAAGGAGTTAATTTAATAACATTTTTTTTACTATGTAAATTTCAAATCCTTTCATCCAACTCCCTTCGCTTTAACTTCCAAATGAGTGCGACTTTTATAGAATCCCCTTGGGAGTTAAAATTTAACTCCCTTTTTTACAGTGTATTTTTAGACTAGTTCATAAAATTTATTAATTCTTTATGTTTATTATTGTTTTTATATTTATTGCTTAATAACTACTGGAATTTTGTAGAAACCAGGAATCTCAAGTTGCTAATGTTGCTGCCATCTCTCATACCATCTTCTTGCAGACTGAGATCATTGAAAAGGCCTTATACCTATTGGAAACCAAGTATCCAAAATTCATTGGATACTTTCATTTTACACGAAAAAGTTAATATTAAAATTGTATTTACTTTTTACTATTATTGTGTTAGACAAAAAATTAATAGAAAAATATTATTTCAGATTCAAGGAAATATTGAAAATACTATACGGGACTTAAAGGAAAAGCACAGGTTGTACAATTTAACTTTTCAACCGTTGATCATTGTGGTAGGACCGAATTTGGACACGATCAATGCTATCTATGTTTACATAGATTCATCGGTGTATAAAGTAACATCAATTTTGAAAGCAGTAGACTTATGTTACAAGGCGTTTCATATCTTCCATGCACATTATCCTGTGATTTGTCAGCAAGTGTGGTTACTTATTCAGAAGGGAATTTACAAACAAAATACTGCGTGGGATAAAACAATTGCAGGTGTAAATACTATTTTACGTTGCATTCAAGATGTGCAAGAGATATAATTAAAGATTTTTAAAATTAGCGTATTATAGAATTTTGTAAGTTACAAGATGTTTTCGTGTTATATTTGCGGATATCAATTTGAAAAGCCATCATTTTTAATTCGTCATTTTCGATTTCAACATTTTCTTACTTTAAATAATCGCTATAAATGCAAACAAGGCGATTGCATTTTTGAATTTCAAAATGTTCATGCATTTAAAAAGCACCTTGAGAAAAAACATTCTGATTCTTCGGAAACGACTGCAAGAAAAACAGACTCAGTTTTTAGTGTTCCGATTCTCCCGACGTTAGAAACAATACCTGAGGAAACATCTGCTTTTAATGAAATAGAATCACCCTTGGAGGAAATTACGCCTTTTGAATTAGCAAATATGTCAAAAGATTCAACCATTAATTTTCTACTGAAATTGTATAATCAAAATTGTATTCCGCGAAGTATTGTTCAAGACATTGTCGAATTCACTATGGAATTGTTTGATTCTGGTCCTCTTGATATTTTAAAAACTAGAATTTTAACTAAAATTAATTGCGCAAAAGAAAAACATGAAATTCAGGAATTGTTTAAAATTGTCGAGAGTCCGTTTTTCGGCCTAGACACAGAATACAAAAGGCTAAAATTTTTTAAGGGCACAGGATTTTTTATTGAACCGCAACCATTCGTCGTCGGACAGTCACAGGTTAAAAAAAAAGAATGCGGTATTGAAGTTCAGACTCCAGTTAATTTAACTGGGCAATTTATATCTGTAAAAAACATGTTAAATTGTTTTTTATCATTACCTGGAGTACTGGATATGATTTTAAATTATATGGATTCTTTGCAGACTGACTCACAATTTATATCTAACGTAATTCAAGGAAAGTTATGGAGCAGTGTAAAAGAAATGTATCCGAATAAGATTGTCATTCCTATTATAATTAATTTCGACGAATTTGAATCCAAAAACGGGATGGGCTCTCACGCTGGGATTCATAAATTAGGTGCAACTTATTGGTACATTCCTGTTTTACCGCCGCAGTTTCAAGGTTCACTAAAATACATTTTTTTAACATTACTTTTTCACGACGATCTCAGAGCGAAATTTGGAAATCAAATGTGTGTTCGAAAACTTTTACACGAGTTAATTGAATTGGAGAGTGAAGGACTAGTGATTAATGGGCGTCACATTTTCTTTGTATGTTTACTTGTGACCGGGGATAATTTAGGTGTCCATAAAATCTGTGGAATAGTGGAAAGTTTTAGTGCCAATTATTCGTGTCGTATATGCAGAGTCAAAAAAGAAGATCTTCGAAAGCAAACAAAAGAAGACGAAAAACTGCTAAGAAAAGTAGAGGAATATGAACAAGATTTAAAATTAAACAATTTTTGTGAAACGGGCATAAAAAGTTACTGTATTTGGAATTCACTTAATACATTTCATTTATACTCAAACATATATTTGGATTTGATGCACGATTTTTATGAAGGTGTATGTTTATTTGATTTGAGCAGAATTTTATTACACTTTATAAACGAAGGATTTTTAACGCTCGAAGATTTAAACGATCGTATCTTAGGATTTGATTACGGTCAAATCGACATAAATAAAGTGCCATTATTGACAAAAGTAAAATTACAAAATGGCACATTAGGTTTCTCCGCTTCGGAAACTGCAAATTTTCTTAAATATATGGGTCTTATGATTGGAGATTTTATTCCTGAGGACAACGAGTATTGGAAATTATACACTTATTTGCGTGACATTGGCGATATTCTCAGTTTACGATTATTTCACAAAGACGTTCTAGTTTTACTAAAGTCACTCATTTCAGACCATCATATACTGTACATTAAATTATTCGGAGAAACTCTGAAGCCCAAACATCACTTTCTCCTTCACTATCCTCGAGTTATTGAAAATTTAGGGCCAATAATAAATGTTTGTTGTTTTAAAACGGAAGCGAAACATCGATCTGCAAAAATAACATCATCACTATCGAATTCGTGTGTAAATTTACCGTATACTATCGCAATGAAACATCAGTATAAAATGTGTTTTAACTTTATGTCTGAAGATTATCTAACTTGTCCCTTAGAATTCGGATTGGCTCAAACTCTTACAAAAGAGGAAGTGGAACGTTTTCGACGTTATTTGAATTGTAATTTTGCGACTGACTCTACTGCGAACTCAGTATCTTGGGTAAAAATTAACAATGTAACTTACAAGAATCATATGGTCCTAGCAACAACGACAGATGATTATATATTACCGAACTTTGCACAAATTATCGAAATTTTAGTAGATTCACAAAAAAAATGTTGTTTCATTGCAAAACAAATGAAAACACTTGGTTCGTGTCCTCATGTCGGAGCATACGAAGTGCTTTTATCCAGTAAAATAATTTCAATTTCTGATGATGAACTTCTAAGTAAATTCCCAACCAGCGTTCACAATTCAGCAGAAGGAAAATATTATGTTGTTTATTGTGAACGATAAAATAAATTTATGTTAAATGTAAATATGTTTCTCTGTTAATGTAATATTTATAATAAAAAAATGTTTTTTATATCAACCAAGCACCTAAAATTCCTAAAGTAAAAAATTATATCCCACTCGGAAACTTTTCAACTATTTTTGCTAAATAATTGCCGAAAAATTTGCGGAGACTTGGGAAAATAATCAAATAAAATATAATTAATGTTTCATTCATTAAAAAAAAAGAATAGTCATTCATTGTAAAAAAATTTTTAAATTCAAAATTTAACACGTAGTTGATAAAAATAGGTTCAATAATTTCTTTAAAATCTATTTACAAATACAAATTTACAAATATATACAAAAATGGCATAATTTTTTCAGAAGTATTTGATTATTAACCCAAACTAATTATTTTTAATTTCTACGTGGGGAAATAAATTTTTTCATCTATAAAAATGTTTTTAATATTTTTCATTATTTAATTATTTTCTGCTAAATAAGTAAATAAATATTCAAAATTATCTTAAAAATTACATAATATAAATAGTTACTATACACAAGAGAAATAAATGAATGAACAATTTTACTGTAAATAATACAAGAAAATGTTTATTTAAATAACTTGAGAAATTACAATTATAGAAATTATATACCTAGGATCAAAAATGGATTTCAAATTTTATTAATAACAACACAATAATAAGGATGTCTTATATTAAAATTAGTCTCAAATTAAATTGATCGTAAAAATCAAGATTTTAAAATTCCCTAAATTGTTTCACTTTCTGTAAATTTGAATTTACAGAATACTTCAAATTTTGATTTTGAACTTTAATTTATGAAGGCTTACACTAAATTAAATTGTGGTCTGCTGGTTACAGTAAGAAGTTGTCTTAAATTTTCTTCCTTAAAATAAGATTCTCTATTTCTATTTACTGTGCAGATGTTCAATAAAGAACTTGTAAACATTGATAAATGACATTTTTGGAACTGTCATTTGACTCACTAGACTTGATAAAAGAATTTATTCTATCGAAACTTGACAGTAATAAGGTTACGTAAGAAGTGTAAATATTATTTTCTCCCTTTTTTATTATTATTTACAGTAGGAGGAACTTTTTTGTTTAGAACTTTACAGTAACTGTCTTGAAAACATTATTCGGTGAAATTCTAAACCTAACCTTACTTTTTAAACTGACATTTAAATCTAAAGGTAAACTCACATGAGACACAAATCTTTATTTCACAAGTAGTGGACAGATTGTAATTGGACAATTTTGGACAATCGAATTGCAAACGTTGCATACTTCTTCTATAGTAGAAGCATTCATATGTTATTTTATTCTAACCTCACTTTCCTAAATTATCAATTGACAGCAATCGGAATTAAACTACAGAAATAAATAAAATGTAAATAGTATTTTTCCTTTATCTAAGTATGTGAGATTTATAATTTAGATTATTTTATTTAATTTATGCTTGGAATTTATTTACGGTAAAATGGAAATAAAATGTATTAAAACAACTACAAAATTATATTAAAATTAAACTTATAATACGTTTAACTAAACAACAAGGATATAATAATTTTAAAACAAACAAAGTATATTTTTAAATGAAATATATTAAATCAAACAAAAATTATGTTTAAATTAAACATACGTATGTTTGACTGTATAGCAAAGATATTCTAAGTTTGATTTAAACAAAATATGTTTAAACCAAATTAATAGTTTTCTCAGTGTCTCATTGTTCTCTAATTCCACTCTGATTTTAATTAATTAGAAAAAAAGTTACCAACAAAATTAATAATCACTCCTGTTCGATTATTTTATCGCAACATTGCAAACGAACTTTTTTTTTTTATAAATCCAGCAAAAACCTAGAGACGATGATAAGCTTCTTAAATAGCCTGCTTCTCATCTAATTATTTTCTGACGATGCTAAAATGTGATGTCGATTAAAACCACAAAGTACACATTATATCGAAACGGAAAGTGTACGTAATCGCTGAATCGAAGATGCGAAGAAAAAAATTTCTCTTCATTTGAATAACAAGAAAACAAATAAAATATTTGAACTCATTCTCTCCTAGCGAGACATTTTAATTTTCGCTTTTATTTTACCCTGCGCTCATTATAAAACGACAAAAGAAAAAAAACGAGAAGAAAAAAAAATTCCTTATAAACGAGATATTAAAAGAAGATTCATTCAGATTTTTACGAGCTACAGAAAGCTTCTTCGAAAATTAAGAGATAAATTTAAAACAAAACGTTTCTTTTATTTTATTCTTTTTTTTTGAAATTTATCTCTTTCTTGGGATTTTTGCAACTGTTGTTCAAGAATTTAAACGTGGAGGCAGAATGAAAATATGTTTACCATAGAAAAAGAGTAATCGAGAAATGAAAAGAATTAAAACATCAAAAAATGGAGAAATTAAAATTTTTTAAATTCACAAAAACTGAAGAGAATAGAATTCTTCGATTACATTGTGCTATGAAAGGAAGTATGTATTTAGCACGAACGGTAAAATATAATAATTACACGTAGCAGATATGCATACAATGTGCAATATTACGTTTGTATTACTGTGGGCGGTATATTGAAGATTAGAAACTCATTAAACG